TTATAAACCCAGGGAATTCAAACCCTGCCAGCCAGGCCTGCATTATAAACCCAGGAAATACCAAATCCTGGATTATAAACCCAGGGAACACCAAACCCTGCCAGCCAGGCCTGCATTATAAACCCAGGGAATTCAAATCCTGGATTATAAACCCAGGGAATACCAAACCCTGCCAGCCAGGCCTGGATTATAAAGCCAGGAAATTCAAATCCTGGATTATAAACCCAGGGAATTCAAATCCTGGATTATAAACCCAGGGAATACCAAACCCTGCTTTATAAACCCAGGGAACTCAAATCCTGGATTATAAACCCAGGGAATTCAAACCCTGCCAGCCAGGCCTGGATTACAAACCCTGGGAGCTCTGCTGGAGGAAGAGCCAAGTGTAGGGTCCTTGCAGGATACAGCAATTCCCAGAGAACATCTTTGTTCCCGTTATTTCCAGAGCGTTTCTGTGTCCCTGCAGCCCAGGGGAGGTGGCAGGGCTGGAGCAGGGGCTGGGACAGGCACTGAGTCACTAGAGGAACATTCCTGGCAGCTGGGACACGAGTGCTGGGGAACACTGAGAGCGCTGCTCTTACCAAAGGTGCTAATTTTAAACCCGGCAAGTTGTCGTTTCCCAAATTAACAGCTACTGCAAGTTCATTACTAAAAACCTCCCAAAATACAGATCTGCAGGTACAGAGCACATTCCAGAATGTGAGCTGCCTTCAGAAAGCCACGCTCAGCAAACACCGTGTGCTGCTCCTTCAGACCACGTCATTTCCCTGTCATGGGGATTTCCCCACACTGAGGGACCCAGAGCCAGAGCAGGGCCCTTGGGAATCCAGCAGGAAGAGCAAAGCAAAGGAAAACAAACCAAAACAAAACCCCTTTCTTTGCTGGATCCTCTCTAGATGCAGCTCTGGCACTAAATTCATAACCTCTTGGAAATAGTTCAGCAGCTGCACCCTTACTGTGAGGTGTAAAATATCTTCAAATTGCCAGAGGGTAGGGCTGGATGGACATCGGGAAGGAATTGTGGGCAGGGGCTGGGCTGGAATGCCCAGAGCAGCTGGGACTGCCTCTGGATCCCTGGCAGTGCCCAAGGCCAGGCTGGACACTGGGGCTGGAGCAGTGGGAGGGGTCCCTGCCATGGCAGGGGGCACTGGGTGGGCTTTAAATCCCTTCTAAAATCCCAAACCAGGCTGGGATTCCATGTGGAGAATATTTATTCCTTTATTAGGGAGCCCCCAGGTGTCTCCAACAGAACCACACATCCCATCCAGCAGGAAAGCTTCTCACTTTCTAAGGAAGGAGGAAAAGCAAATGTCACAGAAGTGAGAGCTCCAGGTGTCTGTGCACAGCTGTGTGTCAGTCACACCCCTGTGTCACCCACACACACACTGGTCACTCACACACACACTGGTCACTCACACACACACACTGGTCACTCACACACACACTGGTCACTCACACACACACACTGGTCACTCACACACACACACTGGTCACTCTCACACCCCTGTGTCACTCACACCCACCCCTGGGTCACTCACACACCCCTGTGTCACTCACAC